CAGGGACGCCAGGAGATGGGGTGAGATGGACTCTGGCCTGACCCAGTCTGGCTGTTTGTACGCTCAGGGTGGGGACGGCAGGAGCTCTGCAGTCTCTGGCTGGATCTCAGCCTCTCCCCTTGATGGCAACAGACGTGCACCCGCGGCCCTGACCCGGCCAGTCTTCCATTGTGCCTGTCGCACGCTTCACGCCTCTGCCACAGTGGCTGGTTTCGGAGCAAGGGCTTCCCCCTTGCCACGGAGGCAGATGGGACGGCACTGGCTCGGGCAGGACGGGTGTACAGGCTGCCCACATGGGCGGGGATGGAGGCGCATTTGGTCCTATCAAGTCCAGCACCCCAGGAGCCAGGCCAGGTCAGCTCCCTACGTTAGACCCCGAGGGGATGGGGTTTCCTCTGCTCTCCCTCGGGGGACACAGACTAGCTCAGAGCTGCAGGCACCTCCCCCTCGAGGTTCAGCCTAAACTCTCTGCTCCCCGGGTCAGACGCTGCATCGCTGAATACAACCCGAGCGCGCCGGGCAGCGACGGGGCTGAGCACACACGCCAATTACAGCCCCCGGGCGCAGCCAGTTCCCGACACCAGGCGCAGTGGGGCTGGTGGATACGGCTGCAGCAGCCCTTGTGGGGCACAGGCGGTGCTGCAGGCTGGGTCTGTGGGGAGCCAGCGGGAGCGCCGGTGCATGGGGGCAGGAGGGGAGCACGCCCTGTCTTTCCCCTGAGGCACAGGAGCCCAACGGGCGCTCCGGTTTCATTCTGGTTCGTTAACCCTGCAGGGGAGGGAGAAGTCAGCCCGTTTCTGCTCATTAGAATCTCTGCCCACAGCCAAAGGAGCCAATTAAAATCCTCGACTCCAGCGCAGCGGGGCGCACGCTGCGGACGGCTGCACTCACAGCTCCAGGGTCTGCTCCATTTGGCTGGGGAGCTCCTCCCCCCTCCCCCCCCCAATACTCCCTCCCCTGCCATGTCTGCAACAGGACGGTGAAATCCCCCATCGGCAGAGCCCCCAATTCAGCAGTGTCATCACCGCAGCGACCTGCCAGGGCACTGGACAGGAATTTACCCTGGCGCAGCTCTGGGCTCCTCCCCTACCCAGCCCCACGGTGCCGTGCTGGCCTGGCCCAGGCGGTGCAGTGCAGACCCCGATCCGCACCCCCCCCCCC